CCATTAGCAGTTTCAAGTCTCAACGGTTCAGGCAACTGTAGAAACCAGCCCAGGCTTTGACTCTTTGATTCTCTCAGTGACCTCCTTAGGTCAAGGCCATTTTCATCCCCATTTGACGTGAGGAGACTGGAGCTCAGAGAGGCTGATTATTACAGAAGCCAGTGGGCCGGCGGCAACGCTAAGGCCTCTGAGCTTCCCCAATTCTTCTGGTAGTCAGCCAGATTGTCTACGACAGTGACGGGATGGATGGATGACGAGAAGGTTTGCCACTTCAAAGACTGGATACACATTGCTTTACCATAAAATCTGTAATTGTATAAATGTTTTAATGTAAATATCAAAGTTAGGTGGGATTTTTTATTATACTTCGTGTGTGTGTGTGTGTGAGAGAGAGAGAGAGAGAGAGAGAGAGAGCGCATGCACATAAGGAGAAGAGAAGAAAACTTAAAAGAATCATTTCTCTCTCTCCACCACAGATCCTTGTGGGGTCAAACTTGGGCTATCAGGACTGGCAGCAAGCATTTTAACACCCAGCACCTCCATCCCCCGCCCCTCCCCCAGCCATCTCAATAGCCCTAGATGGGATTTTTAAAAAATAAATGATTGAACTAAAATTGTTATTGTTGTTGTTGTTAATGTTTTGCCTGCATGTATGTCTATGCACCGGGTGCATGCCTACTGCCCATGGAGGCCAGAAGAGGCTATGGGACTGGAGTTACAGACAGTTGTGAGCCACCTTGTAAATGCTGAGGATGGAAACTTGGTCCTCTAGAAAAGCAGCCAGCGCTCTTAGTCTCTGAGCCATCTCTCCAGCCCGGGGACTTTATTATATTAAAAAATGACAGCATCAAAGGGCAAGGATGTGAAGTGACTAAAATTCACACGCTACTGATGGAAACACGAGTCACGGAGACACTTTGTCAACTCAATAGTTTATGGTGCAGTTAGACAAGCACCTGGCTCCAGACCCAGCGAGTCCAGTCTGAAGGCACTCAGGAGAAATAAAAACAAGGCCTCTCAAGGCCTTTAACATGGCACCTATCACAGCTTTATTCATACGGTAAAAGAACTAAAGACAACACAAATTCTCCCGGCAAGTAAATGGATGGCCAGCGGCACATCTATGCTGTAGAACACTACTCAGCCATGAAGAAGGACAAACTAGTAGATTATGTGACAATGTGGACAATCTCAAGAGAGCAGTAAGTGAGCAGAGAGAAGGGAAACAAAAGAAGCATATCATGGTTATGCTCATGTGAAATTATAGAAAGCACAAAGCTAATCTCTAATAAAAAATGAGTTCACAGGGACTGGGGAGCTAGCTCTGTTGGTAGAGTGATGGTCTAGTACAGATAAAGCTCTGGTTCCCATCACCAGCACCCAATGAACCAAAAATACTGATGCACACCTGTAAGGCCAGCACTTGGGAGGTAGAGTCAGGAGGACCAGGAGTTCAAGGCCATGCTCAGCTACATGGTAAGTTCAAGGCTAGCCTAGGCTGCATGAAATCCTGTCTCAAAAAGAAAAAACAAGTCTATTGCCAGTTACCTGGAGTCACCTAAGAGCTGGAAGAATTGACTGGAAGAGAGCTTAAGGAAACCTTTGGGCCATAAAAATGTGTTTGCTTTTGAGGCAGGATCTCAGAATGTAACCCAGACTGGTCTCAGACTCACCATGAAGCTGAAGATAACCTTGGATTTCTGCTCCCCTCCCCAAGTGTGGGGATTACAGGTGTGTGTCTCTGTGCCCCATTTATTTGGTACTAGGGATCAAACCCAGGGCCTTGTGCATGCTAGGAAAGCCCTCTACCAACTGAGCTGCAACCCCAGCCCAAAACATTCTGTATTCTCACTAAGGGAATGGTTCCATAGCCAAGTATTGCTTGCCCAGATTTACCAATGCTTAATAGTTATAACTGTACCTTAAATTTATTTATTTATTTATTTATTTTGGTTTTTCAAGACTGAGTTTCTCTGTGTATCCTTGGCTGTCCTGGAACTAGCTCTGTAGACCAGGCTGGCCTCGAACTCAGAGATCCGCCTGTCTCTGTCTCCCAAGTGGGATTAAAGGCGTGTACCACCACCACCTGGCAAATTTTTTAATTATATTTATTTATGAGTGTGCATGTGGGTGGGCGTGACATGACATGTATGTAGTGCTCAAAAGACAACGTGTGGGAGTCTGTTCTCTTCCTCTCCCAGGATCCAAATCAGGTCATCAGCTTGGTGGCAAGTGCCTTAACCTGCTGATCCATCTTTTTTTGTTTTGGTTTTTCGAGACAAGGTTTCTCCGTACAGTTTTGGTGCCTGTCCTGGATCTTGCTCCCTAGACCGGGCTGGCCTGGAACTCACAGAGATCCGCCTGGCTCTGCCTCCTGAGTGCTGGGATTAAAGGTGTGCGCCACCACCGCCCGACCTGCTGACCCATCTTGCCAGCCCTAATTATGCCTTTTGTTTGTAAAAATTATGTCACAACAGGGTTGGTAAGATTGTTCTATGGCTAAAGGCGCTTGCTCTGCAAGCCTGATCACCTCAGTGCAGTCTCTGGAACCCACATCAAGGTAGAAGGAGAGACAGGGTTCCACAAAACTGTCTTGTATGCACACAGTAAATCTTCTGGGCCAGAGAGACGGCACGGCTCAGTAGGTTAAAGTCCTTGCCATGCCACACTGACAACCCAGTCCGATAGAAGGAGAGAACGACTCCCAAAGGTTGTCCACACACATGCCAAGGCTCTTCTGCATCCACACTCACATGCATATCATGCACACATACACACAGTGAGAACAAAATTTGAAAATATTTTTGAAACAGAGTCTCACTGTGTAGCACTGGCTGTCCTAGAACTTGCTGGGTAGACCAGGCTGATCTGGAACTTACAGAGATCCACCAGCTTCTGCTTCCGAAGCGCTAAGGTTAAAGGTATGCACCACCACACCCAGCCTAATAAAAATGTTTTCAATTATGCCACAATAAACATGATAGGAACTTTAGAGACATGAATGAGGATTTTTATGGCAAAAACTTCTGAGAAATGGTTTAAAAAGGGAACATGTTGGCTCTCCGTGGTTCTTTGCCATCAAATGGCACCTTGTCAACCGTGATGTAACTGATGCTGGTCACATCTAATATCCCCTGGACCTGCCCCAGGACCTACCTTTCTCTTCCTGGAGGCCCTGAGAGCAAGGTTGTGGCAGGCCAGAGGACTGGAGGCCTAATGCCCTCTGGGCATTCCCTCACCTAACAACCCACAAGAGTGTTCAAATGCCCAGGCCGTTATCAAAGCAGATAACGTGTGTGTGTGTGTGTGTGTGTGTGTGTGTGTGTGTGTGTGTGTGTGTGTACACTACACTGTCTCTAGTCTTAGCAGGACAGAATCTGAGTTGCAGGTGCCAGGAGTTAGCTCTGTGATGCTTCCTGGCTTCCTTCCCACCTCTGCCTCTTTCACTCCATCCATAACCCGTACTGTTTACTTCTGCACAGACCAATTCCACTTCTGTGTTGAAGTCAATTAAACCCGCTCAAAACTCAGTCTATTTTTATAAATAGGGCATACATACATTAAAGTACATAACAAGCACATCCGTGCAGAGTGAGTGTCTTTCTCAGTGGTTGTGTCTTGAGGGGAGGGGCAGAGGACAGTTGGCCAGGCTGTGAGGCAGCTCCTGCTGTCAGGACTGGGGGAAGAGTGCTAATGGGCCTGATGGGTGGAACTCAGGGGTGCTGCTAACACTGGGTGGTGCTCAGAAGAGTTCATACCCAATACACAGTACTGCTGAATGCTTGCATACACGCATACCTAAAGGAATGAGTAAGGGATGCTGGTGGTCTGGCCTGGCTGGAGTACCACGGAGTGTCGGACCCTGTCTTTTTGAATGGATGTTCTCTGCCCCTGTCTCCTGCCGGGTAGAATGCCATGCAAACAGGGCCTCAGTGGTCTGCCAGTCAGGCTTTCTTCCTCTTCAACTTGGGAGGTCCTCTGAGCAATCCCGAGTTCTGCCCAGAACAAGGCAGAGAACTCCCGCGTGTGGGCGCCAAACTTTGCATGAGTTTGAATAAGCACCGGGAGGGTAGAGGGAAAATCCGTTGCGTGTGGGAGGGACTGAAGGAATGTGGAGACCCACCAGACTCTCGAGGGGCGTGGTTAGACGTAAAGGAGGCTACATTCCTACCGTGGCTTGTTGAGAACCTTAAAAGTGAAGGACAGGAACGTTTTACAGCTCAAGTGCAGGATTTGCGATTTGGGACCTATGGGATTAGAATCCCAGAGACAGCTAGTGGTGTAGCACATTGTCTGGAGCGAGGCCCTAGATTCCATCCTGTACAACACACACACACACACACACACACACACACACACACACACACACACACACTCAAGATTAAAATCCTTTCAGAAGGTTGGATTACAAATCTAGAAAACAAGGATTGGGACCCTTCACTTGGGTGGATTAGAATCCTTGGGGGCAGAAGAGAAAGTGAGACTAAAAATACTTTGCGGGGGGGGGGGGGGGGGGGAAGGAGGCGGAAGGTTTAGCTTGTAAAGGCTCCTTCTGCCAAACCTGGCTATCCGAATTCAATCCCATCTCACCACGCTGAAGCACTAACGTACTTATACACGTACACGTAATCAATCAATGAATGTAAAACAATAAAATCCTTTAGGGCCTTCATGAGTCTTTGGGTATTGGGTCTCTTGGATGGGGAGTCTGAATCGAGGGGGTTTAGAGTTCTTTGCACCGATTCAGACCGTGAGGCGTGGTTTAAGTGCATTAGTTGGGGGACTGGGAATCTTTGGAGAATAGGTCAGACTTTGGGGTCTGATTCACTCCTTCAGGGACTGGTTAGGATCCTTGAGGACAGAGTTAGCAAGGAAATGTTGAAATTCTTTGGAGGTGGATTAAGAGCTGGGGACAAGAGGGCCGGAGTAGGGTTAGGCTCTTAGGGGGCGGAGTCTGGTCATTTGGGGGCGGGGTTTGCATCGCCCAGGGCGCGGCTAAGGCTCCCAGATGGCCAGTGAGCGCCACAGGGTCTCAGCTTCCAGCCTGTGCTCACCCTGGTGGCTCTCAGACGGGTGGGAGGGAAGCAGAGTCGTTGGGACAAGCAGCTTCAAGCTCCTCGGAGCGCCGTCGCAGCCTCCGCAGTCCTCAAGTCTTCGTCGTTTGCTCCAGGCTTGCGATTCCAGGGCCGCCAGGGACCGCGGAGCTGGGGGGTCGTTCGAGCTGCGAGGATCCGGGCTGCCCGCGAGGCGAGGGGCGGGCGCCCAGGTGAGTGAGGGTGTGGGATGGGACTCCGAGAACCCGAGGACCTTGAGCACCAGGAAGCTGGGGTCCCAGGCGAGCTGCCGGGGCGGCGAGGAGAGAAGGGACAGTCCCGGGAGCAACCGATTGGTGGTGAGATGCGCCGTCTACCGCTGGTGGGGTTGCCCAGGTAGCCAGGTGAGGCGAATTGCCGCGGCCCAAGGCGACCATGGGATAACCCTAGATAGAGGAAGCTCAGGCAGGGGAGTGACAATGCTGAGCTGACGCTTCTCTGACCGACCAGGTTCCCCTTCTGTACACACACACACACACACACACACACACACACACACACACACACACCAAGAAGAAGAAGCAGCAGGAGGGGCGGGAAATGCCCGTTCAGTTCCCAGTGGGGGTGGGGGTGTGGTAGGTCACGCAGGGTAGTCAGAGGGCAGGGCTAAATGAGCAGCTGGGGCAAGACATGCCCATGCCCACCACACCCAGGCCCGGCTGCAGCTGTAAGTCTGAGTCCCCTCTTCCCCTGCTCTCCTGGCTTCCCCTGCCCTCCTGGCTGACCTCTAACAGGTCTACATCAAACTCCAGAATCTCTTACACAAGGACCATAATCTACCGCAATCTCCTGCTTGTGAGACCCTGGGCAGGTCACTGGCTACTCTCTGGATTCCAGCTTCCTCCTCTGTAAAATGGGCTATTTAAGTCTCCTGTGGAAGCTGAGTGGTCCAGGGAGAGAAGCAGGTCTGCATGATATTGGGCAGGGAGTCTGGCTTTTCTGTGCCTCTGTTTCCATAGCTGCAGGATGGGAATGGTAATAAGATAGGTTGAATGTCCCCTATTCAAACTGCTTAGGATTAGAGGTGTTTAGGATTTCAGATTATGGCAGAATTCTGGCTATTAAGTGCACAGGGAGGCATCTGAGGGAAGGAACCTAAGTATAAAGGAAATTTGTGTATGTTATACATACTTCAGTGTGTGTGTGTGTGTGTGTGTGTGTGTGTGTGTGTGTGTATGCAATTTAGTGTGTGGTTGGGTGTTCATTCACACATGGAGGTCAGAGGACAACCTCTGTATTGTTCTTTGAGCAAAATCCATGTTGGTTTTGGAGACAGGTCTCTCATCGGCCTGGGGCTTGCTGGGTAAGTGGGGCTGGCTGGCTAGTGAGTCTCAAGGGTCCACCTGTTTCCACCTCCCTAACACTGGGATTAGTAGAACTCCCAGTTTGCTTTTTTCCCCATGGATTCTCGGGGTATAACCCCATTCCCCCTGTTTGCAGGACACTGACTTTACCAGCTGAGCTATCTCCGCAGCCCCTGATTTTCACATATCGTATATTCATTGCCCAGAAGTAACTAATGTCGCATTTTTAATAGCATCTACATTTTTATGTCAACTCATAGCCTCAGATTAGGTATAGACTTTCGCCTTGGATCATCCTGTCGGTGCTCAAAGTATCTCAGATTTTAGAGTGTTTCAAATTCAGGGTTGGGGATGCCCCCTCGCTTTTGAAGACGAAGCTAAGAACTGAAGGCAAGGGGCTGGGAGGGGGCTCTGTGGTCCAGAGCACACACTGCTCTTCCAGAGGACTCTAGCTGGGCTCTCACCAACCACAACAGCACAACAAACGCCTCCCAGCTGCCTGTAACTCCAGCTCCATGGAATCCCATGCCTTCTTTTGGCCTTGTAGGCACTAGCACACATGTGCTGTGACACATACACACGCTAAATCTGAGAGAGAGAGAGAGAGAGAGAGAGAGAGAGAGAGAGAGAGAGAGAGAGAGAGAACTGGAGGAAAGGCCCTTGGAGCACTGATTATCAAGTGTACTTTCCACTGTTCCCATCCAGCCCTGAGATTCTCACACCAGCATCACCAGGGAAGTGAGTTAAAATGCACATTGCTAAGGCAACCCCCAGAGGAAGGTCTGGGGCACGGTACTGAGGATTGGCAATCTCAGGACTGCTGATGCCGTCCAGGAATCCCACTTTGAGAATGCTGGCCAAGCCTAGCACTGACCCAGAGAGGCCTCACAAGATAGCGCTTACTATCTAGTGGCCTTCTCACTGCTCTCCTTTTCTGGAGGATGAAGGGTGCTGTTTAAAGAATGCATATCCCGTGTCCCAGGAACACGCCACCCAGAATTAACTAATGGCGGGGCATGGGCATGTTTGCCTTAGAATTTTAAAAGAATAAAATGGCTAAGTGTGATGGGTAAAATCCAAGTCCCCTGCCTGGAATCCCTTTCAGTCTTCTTTCTCCCTCTATAGGAAACCCCAATGTTGAAAACTAGTCCTTCCTGTCTTCGCTGTGATAAACAATACACAAACGTGTCCTCTGTGCTATAAAGATCACAGCAGAGCTGGGTGTAGTGGTGCACAGCTGCAGTCCCAGAACTTGGGAGAAGAGACAGGAGGAGCAGGAATTCAAGGTTGTCTTCGGTTATATAGCAAGAGTTTGGGGCCAGCCTGGGCTCTGAGACTTTGTCTGTAACAAAACAAAGCAATCTATAGTCGTTCACCTTGATCGACAAGAGATGCATTCCAAGATCCCAGCAGATGGCTGAACGGCAGGCAATACTGAGCTCTAAGTATATCTTTTGCAGATATATGAAAGCTTTTCTTTGGCAACTCTGAATTGACAGCATCACTGCTCCTGTGCCTGGGGCTATGATTTAAACAATGAGCGTTGATTGGACACAAGCATAGTAACTACCGAGTCGGCAGTGCATATAGCACGGATCCATTGGATAACAGGATGCTTCCATCTTGGGGAGGACAGGGGTAGACTGTGAGATTTCATCACTCTGCTCAGAAGGACATGCAGCTAAAAAGTTAGGGTTGCTTATTTCTGGAATTTCCCATGCAACAGTTTCAGGTTGTGGTTCACTCTGGGCCCGAAACTGTGCAGAGCTAATCCTCTGACTGCGAGTGTAGAGGAACTACTCTACATGAGTACTGATCTAACTGTGGGGTTCTTCTGCAACTTGTCTTCTCCCTACTGATCATCCAACTGGGATCTATCAAAGATGAGGACTTGAGGCCTGATTTATTCCCTGCTAGCTGTAGTGGAATCATGCTAGTCAGCAACGGCGGGACATCTTTTCCCCACTCACCCATTGTCAGACATTCAGGTTGCTGCCAGTGTTACTACAACAAATAATATTGCTGGGACCATCCTGTGTGTGTGTGACCTTGGGCATGTGTGCAGGTGTTTCTTGGGGGCAACACTAAGGGACTGGATGGCTCTCCGGGTGGTAGTGTCACCTGTCCCTTTTTATAAGAGTATGGGGGCTTGGACGGCCACTTGTGGAGTCTGAGGACCTCTCAGCTCAGCATGGCCAGTTTACCAGGCCACATGCGCTCTGCTGTGACAAGCTTCAGTGGCCTATTTCACTCTGCCTGGTGCACAGTAGATTTGCAAGAGCTGGCAGCGTGAATTTTGTTACTGCCAATTTCTTCTACACACCTTTTATTTAACACAACCTTTCCCGTGCGTGATGCTGTGTGTGCAGTTTTTGTCCTGCTTAAGAGTTTTAGCATTACACTGTTAACATTTTCCCATTCACTAAGATCCTGAATTTTGAAATGACTGTATAATATTCCAATATTTGGGGTGAATCACTTTTAATCTGTCTAGACTAACACAAGGTTTTGCAATTTTAATGTGTGTAAGTGTTTGCGGGCATGTCTGTGTGTGCCTGGTGCCCTCAGAGGCCAGAAGAGGGCATAGAATCACCTAGAGCTGAAGTTGCAGGTGGTTGTTAGCTGCCGTGCAGGTTCATAAAACTGAACTTGGGTCCTCCACAAGAGTAACAAATGTTCTTAACTGCTGAGCCATCTCTCCAGCCCATAATTTTTCAACACTTTTAATTGAGACATGAGCTGCCTTTCCAGTGGCTGGTTTTATTGTGGTTTGAGGGTGTAGTCTAGCATGGAGGAGCAGGCATCACAGCAAGATTGGCTCTAGCTGCAGTGGTAGGAGCCACCGCCACCTCGTCCTGTTCATAGAAGAGCCTAGAGAGGGTAAGTAATGTTCTCAGAGTTACACAGCCAAGTCAGTAACACAATCTCCCTCAGCCTCCATTTTTCAAAGCAAGCTTCGGTCCCCACCCTGTTGCTACAGGCCGGCGAGTGGAGTGAGTCCATTCCACTATAGGTGCAGATGATGATGGAGAAGAAGCCATTGTTCGGATTTAAAATGTGTCCTTGCTCTTGGCCTGTGGCTGTGGCCACACATCCTGAGTGTCACCATAGCGCTGCATGCCCAATTCCTTCTGTGATGCACTGACTGAGCTCCCAACACCACCCTGAAGTGCTTGGGCCCAGGAGAAATGGAGAGATGAACCATAGATAGATACACGGCAGATAGCCTGAGTTTGAGGGTCTGCTTGAGGGCCTGTCTTATACAACCTGCGGCTCACCATGCTAGCCCCTTCTCTATGGCTCAGTCTACTCAGCTGGAAAATGGGCACAAGAAGGATACCATGCCCACAACACACACGTGCACGCACACACGCACGCACAAACTCACTCACAATTTCAATGGGTATGCAGGCCTTAATGTGTGTTTTCTCAGAAGCAGACCCTAGGCAAAGTTTCAACTGCAAACAGTTTACTTGGGAGTTGATTCCAGAACCCTTGATAGAGGAGTAGGAAGAGGGGGCAACCCTGCAGTTCCCACCGTGGCCCCCAGAGCCCCATCCCACAGGCTGTCTGGATGCAGCACAAGGCTAGTTCAGAGGTGAGAGAACTGGGACGTTGGCCTCCTGCCTGTCAGTCCTTGGTTGAAGGCTGCTCCTGTGGCTGTGACGGTTTGCTGACTTACCAGCTTGTGAAGCTCAGACAGAGCAGGCACCTGTAGCCACAGAGAAATCTCTGTGGCACAGAGGTGCTGGGGCCGGCAGTTGGAAGTCCAGCCAGAGTGTTCCAGAATGGTTCAGTGCCGAGGGTCAAGGACAGGGCTTGCACAGCACCTGCTTCCACATCCAATGCACAACTGTCAAGAAGGCCCA